TTTCTGTTCTTTAAGCTGCCCAGTCTGAAGCATTTTGTTATGGCAGCTCTAGCTGAATAATATAGCTCTATCTTAATGTTTGTGTCACCTTGCCAGGTGAACAGCACCAACTAGCTTAGGTGCTTTCTGTGGGCAAAGGGGATACCCATGGGTAAGAATCCTAGCTATGATCATGTGAACAGTTGCAGAAGGGAGAACTTTTTTTTGTTTGGTTATGAGTGTGTATATGACAAAAACCTTTGTTTTCTTTCCTGTTATCCTTTCTTACATAACAGAAGATGTATTGACTTTACAACAAGAATTTAAGTATTGTTAACTATATATCATAGTATTGAAGTTATGGAATATCGAGGAGAGAACTAAACATCATCCAAAGACTTTTTTGGGAAAGGGTTGATGTGTTTTCAGTTGTATATGGATACTTGTATCATATGAGGTAGAGCTATGATCATATTATTTGGAGATTCAGCATGGTTTAAGGAGACACATATGGGTGCCAAGTTGACAAGGACTTGGGATGTTAATTTTGGGTGTTACTTTGGAGAGTGTTTTTGGATGAGATTAGCATTTAAATTGGTGAACTTTGCATAAAGAGATTGTCCTCCATTATGTGGGTGGGCCTCACCCAATTCATTAAAAGCCTGAATAAAACAAAAAAACTGGCCTCCCCTGGCAAGAGGGAATTTTCCAGCATGCTGCTTGCAGACTTATCAGTACCATTGGCTCTTGTGAGTGAATTTGTGAGTGAACTTGTCATTCTCCATACTTATGAGAGGCAATTCCTTATCTCTTTCTGTGCATCTCAGACTTCCCTCCTCTCCCCTCCCCGCGCCCTTCCTTCCTCCTCCTCCCCTTTCTTCTCTTCTCTTCTCTTCTCTTCTCTTCTCTTCTCTTCTCTTCTCTTCTCTTCTCTTCTCTTCTCTTCTCTTCTCTTCTCTTCTCTCTCTCTCTCTCTCTCTCTCTCTCTCTCTCTCTCACACACACACACACACACACACACACACACACACACACACAGAAGTCTTTTTTCTGGAAAATCCTAACTAATACAACCATCAACTGTCTGTTATAAAACTCTGTGCATTTTGTTTTGGAGGTGAATGAATGTTGGGCCCTATCCCTCCTTTTGTCTTAAATAACATAAACATGATTCATAGCAGCTGCAAATAACTAAAGACAACTCTTCAATTGCCTTTAGCATTTGCTATCACAGAGTCTCCAGAGCTCTCCATTAGTGGCTGAGCAGTCAGAATTGAAAATGCAGGAGGCCTGTGCATCTAGCAGAGCTTCACAGCAACAGTCTTTCTCAGGATTGCTGTGTGTGCTTGGAGCATCATATCTGTGAAGTCTGAAGTGTGAAAGAGGCAGCTGTGATTACTGAACCCACTTAGTGCTCCTCCCACTGTTTTATATCCTTGCTTCCATGACTGGGTGATTTTGTTCTAATGTACATGTTGGAGTGACTGAGCAGAATCCTGGTTTTTGTGTTCCATAGTTGATACATGCTGAACAAAATTATAAGCCCAACAATGTATTGTCTATTTGAAAACTGCTTAGAGAATAAATTTTAAGTGTTCTCACCACAAAAGATGATGAGCATGTGAGGTGATGCATATATTTAATCATTTGATTTAGAATTCTACAGTGTATACATATATCAATGTATACATTGATACATATGTATATTTATAGCATATACAATGTATGCTATATATCATATGCATACAATTTTTACTTGTCAACTAAAATACATACAAAGCTTGTAGAAGGCTTACTGTGGTGAGGAAAGGACAGGAAACAAATGAAGAAGAAAATATCAGACAGGGGTATGAACTTCAGTATTCCTAGATAGCAGGGTAATCGCTGTGTTTCACTGGCCGGGTCAGGTCACATTTAATCTGCAGGGAAGGTACCATTTAATCAGAAATCTAATACAGAAAGGAGTGACAATCTGAGTAAAGAGGCTTCTAGGAGGGAGAAACAGCTGGTGCAAAGGCCCCAAGGCAGCATCAACTTGTAGAGTATGAGTACAAACCTTCAGGACCATAGATTGTGTGGGGCATGGGGGTGGCTGGGGTCAGCTGGAGTAGGGAAGCAGGGAAACATGACCCAGGAGACATCCAGTGGACATGATGCGTGGCACTGGTCCTGCCCCAGTAGTTGGACTCCCACCACATTGCCAGAGGCAGGAGAAGCAGAGTCTGCCTCTGACATGAGTGGCTGGGCATCTCCTGTTCTTTGAGAAAAATCAGCATGTGTATTTTGAAGTTGAGATATAATGAATATAGTTGCCTAACTATCTTAATTTGAAACTGTAGATTATTTAGGATGAAATACGATGACAAATCCAGGATTCTCTGGTGAAGCATTATTACTGTCATTTCCCTGTTTATTGAGGATCTGCAGTTTGTGACATTGCAGTAATGAGAGTGAGTAGGAATCTCAAATGTCAATGTATTTTCATCAAAAAGTCCCTTGGAGCCTTCCCCTCTACACCAGTTCCATGTCGTCCAGCTCTTAGTAATTTCAGAAATAGAGTAACTTCATTGCTTTCCTAAATAATGTTTGCCTTATACCTGCTCTGGCCCTTTAAATCTGTACGCTCTCTCTTGAATACAAATGAATAGTGTTACATTGGAACCTGAGTATAGAACTGATATGGAGCAGAATTAGTATCAAGTGACCTGGTTCCAAGAGGCTAGTTAGAAAACCTCAAAAATGATATTGTTGTAAAATGATTTCATTTACAAGACAGAACAGTATTGTGAAACTTGAAGACCTGCTGGGTTATAGCAAGGCCCTGGTGTTTTACTGTTTCAGTCCTCCTGTTGAAATCTGCTTGGTTCTGGTATTTATGTATTTATGCAATTTTTTATTCATACAGTAATCTCCTTAGAAATCCTTCTTAATTGGGCTCCCAAGATGCTGCTATGTAAAGTACTTGCATCCTAGTGGTCTCCTTTCTCTTTCTACAGAACTGCCTTTTGGCATAAGAATCTCTCTTTTTTCCCTCCTGCCTTCCCTCCCTTTACCTTCTTCTGTTCCTCCCTCCCTGTTTTCTGGTAAATTCTGGAAATTCTCTGTTTTCATCCTTTGTAGGTAGGTCTGATGATGAGTTTGTCAGATTAGCCTAAGATTTACAGTGACTTTGTTAACTGGGTCTCACATCAAATATTGAGAACAACTTCATTTTACTGTGGACCTGCATCAGCCTACTAGTAGATGATGTCAGCGTACTTATCATACCAGTGTGTTAGCTTGGGGTCAGTTATGTCTCATTTCTGTGGTTAAGACAGTTGGCTGGCATCTTATCTCTCTCATGTCTCCAGTTTTGTTTTTGCTCTGTTGTTCCTTTATTTCAGAAGGGCTTTAACTGGCTAGTGACTATTTTACCAGGACTACAGTTTCTTAAAATTAGACTTGGTACTCTCCATGTGAAAATTTTTGTTGCTGGCCTCTCCCTACAGGCTGCTTTTTCTCTTTGCTCTTCTTGCTGGGGACCAGCCACTCACTGTGGCTCCCATGTCTTCCTGTGCCTCCCTCACCCCTCCAGCAAGTTAATGCTAGGCATCTGAATGAAACCCGTGGCATGCTTTCTGTGCCCCTGCCATCCTGAAGCCTGTTATTGGCTGAGGATACCACAAGAGGGGAGTTGAGATGGAGAATTCTGGAGGAACCAGGGCTAGCAGAGCATGTAGTACCAGGTTCCCAGGAAACATAACCAATTTCCCTTCTATGAATCTGGTTCCTCACCTTAGGCCGTTTTCTGGTCTTACCAACCTGTGCACACTTTCAGAGACGTTCTGGTCTTTTAAGGTCAGGATTTGATCTATATTCTCCCTGGATTGTTGTGTGTCCATTTTATTTATATGTGGCTCTGAAATTGAACCTTTAATATTTAAGATTTAAAAATGCCCCCAGTTTGACCAGCTCTTCCAGGCTCTGTCACTCACAGCATCTTGGTATCAGTGTGACATTTTGAAGTACTGTAATAACACTATGTTTCTACGGTGTTTGTTTGCTCAGCTCAATGAGCCTTGCAGTGTTAATTCTTTTGAGAGCAAGAGGTTGCAATGGGTCTCTTTATTCCTGTTACACATGTTTTGATTTGCAATAAGTATTGTGAATTTGTGTATATATGGTGCCTTTTGGAGGACTTCATGGCTAGCAAGATTACGTTAGATGAAGGCTGTATCAAGATTAGAGACTAATTTTTTAAAAGTGATAGTAAAGTTTATTAGGAAAGGAGAAGGTCATCTTGAGAGAGAGAATGAGAATGACAAGGTAATGTTTCTAATATAAGGATTCACCATAGATTACATAAAGATCTTTTTTAAAAAATGTGATTCCTTAATTCTTTGCATCAAGTCATTGGATTAAGTCTCGGATGGGCTCAGAAATATGCTGTTTCCCTAGACCTCTTGAGAAGCCTTGCCCTAAGGAGAGATGCTCTTCCTTCAGATGGCAGGTTTAGTTTTCCTGGAATGCATCTGGTCCCTGGAACATCATTTTCCATTTTCTGAGAGGGCACTGGGGGGAAAAGGGGTTTACTATCTCACAATGCAGTGCTTCCTTCCCTTCCATTTTCTTTTCTGGGGGAAGGTGACTGAGGAACCAGTGAGAACTCCATTAGTTAGCTTCTAATAAACTATTGTTGCTTTGGAACAATGCAATATTTTTACCTTGTAGAATGCAATGACATATCCACCAAATGCAAGTTTCTGATAGCTTCTTTGTGGTTATGTGTATGTACCTGCCATTGCTGACCTGCAAAAATATGAGCATGAGCAAATTGCTTAACTTTTCTGAGCTTCATTTTCCCTATATGAAAATGGAAATTTAAGTGAAATACATAAATTTGTTATAAGGATTAAATGCTAAGCTCTAAAAATAGCAATTAGCTCTAAGTGCTACATAAGAGTTAGTTGCTGTTAGTACTATTGTTATTGTTGCCATTATTACTTATTTGAATCAAAGTAAATTCCTTGAAGCTTCCTCGTCAGATATTCATAGGAACCAACAGGAAAGATAGGAGAAAATGCTGTACACAGTATTTGCATTGCTAAGGGAGTTGGTGCAATTTCTGGTATGAAGGCAGCCCTTTATCTGCAACATGGAGACTTTATCAATGAAATCTTCTGTGAAGAGCATTAATAGAATATCTTCCTGTCCTCCAGCCCCAGCTCAAAGGTGCTGCCAAGTACAGATAAAAGCACTGGAGTAATCTCAATTGACTATTGTCAGCCTCCATAATCTCACCATCAGTGAAATGAATATTTGGTTGCAGAGGGGAGACAAGCATCTATAATGTTTTCCATGTGTAATGGCCATTTGGATTCTATTGCACACATTTTTTCTCTCCGGTTATAAACTGTCTAAACCCAATTTCCCCCTTTTGAAAGTGGAATCATGTTTGATTTAATAGTAATGTTATAGAGCTAAGGAGAGTTTAAGAGTCATTCTGGTGTTAAAACCCGCTAAGCCTTTAAATAAATTGTTGTTATCTTGAAACTTTCCAAACTCAAATTGCATTCACTCACATGGCTTGTGGAGTCTTGATATATAAAGAAGGACAACTAACGATTCTGCAAACTCCTCATAACTCTGTGGCCACTCTTGCAGCTTGCAAATACAGAACAGAATTCAGCTCTAGGACTTGCATTGGCAAATGTTCACATGAGTATTAATTAACTTGCTGTTTGAAATAATGTCCCAAATTACAGGATACTTCATTTTGAAAAATTGGGCATTTTAGCATTACATCTCCTCTGAATGACTGCAATAATCTCTGAGCTGGTCCATTTTTCACCATAATCCTGGGCCACTGTTCCTAAAATAATGTTTCCATCAGCATCCTCCTTTGCTTAGAAGCCCAGCATGACTCTTTTGTTGCCTTTCACAGAAGTATAATCTTTGCTTTGCATTACAGGCCCTTCCCTGTCTGCTTCCCACTCTGCTTTGGCTGTCCCTTCCCCAACCTTTCCTGTGTCAGTTAACCCCATATTCCTGCCCCTTGGCCTTGCTTAGTTGTTCACTCTACTCCAGAGCCCCTTCCCTACTTCCATACTCTGGGAATCTCAAGTCATCCCCAAATGTCTTTCAGTAAGAACTTTTCTAAACACATTCCCTTTAGAATTAATCATTTTATCCTTTTGTACTGAGGTGGAAATGAATGTGTGGAGGCACAGAGAGGTTTACACATTTATTAAGTGTCACAGTTGGGGTGGGCAATAAAAAAAAGAAAAGCAATGCAAAAACATAGTTGGATCTCAACCATCACTGTCAAATTTAGGGACAAAAAATAATCTTTGTGAGGACTCGCCATTGAACTGTGCCTGGAAAGAAGGTTGTATACATGGAGTCTTAGAAATAGAAGACCCTCAGATTTGATATTGACAATACCTCTCTCTTTCAGGTGGACCTGAAATCATGTCACTGAGGAGGTGTGTAGTGTGATCGAAATTGCATGTCGTCTAGTTATTAGCAGAAGAGGAACAGCCACCCTTTCTCTTAACTGTGCCAAGTAAGGGGCATCTAGTAAGCAATGTGGTAACTTCTGGGATCTTCTGGTGTCCTATGGGAGCTTCCCTGGATATGGCACAGCCTGAGTAGAAATCAGTAGGCATTTGAGTGAAGTAAAGGGCAAGTGGGTTTATTGGGCTTGTTGTAGGTCTTACCAAGTTTATGCTACTTCCCAAAGAGTCCAGACTTTTCTCTGTGCACCACAATATGGTGAGTGACACATACATGAGAATTTAATGGTATTGTGTACTCTCTTGCTGATGCTGTCAACACTGAAATAATTTTTATTCTTTTGTCAGGAACCACTGGGAGAATAACCCCTATACACTATGCTGTCTTCTTTCTGTTCCTATTTCTCTCTGTAGAACAGATTAACAGGACACAATAAAATTACTGAATGTCATTTTCCACATTATTTGTTCTACTTTTTTTTTTTTTTGACTAATGCTGGTACGTTATAAATCTGCACCTGCCTCTTCCTTCATCCTCTTAGACTGACTTTCAGGCTACAGTAAGCAGGGTCTAGTTATGACCACTGAAGCAGAAATGCAGATCCAATGAGTAATTATTAAGAACTTTCCAGAATATTAGCTGTTTCAGTTGCTGCAGTGACTAGTGATGAAAGAGTCCATTAGACATTTCTGTTCCCAGCAACTCCTGAGAATTGATTCCAATCTGAAGCAGCCAACCACTTTGATCAATACCATAATTACTCTTATTGATGGATTGTTTTACAATGGTAGCCATCAAGGCAGTCCATCAGCTCAGGAGGCCCCAGAACTGTCCCCTGCAAGCTGTAATGTACCACAAATATCTGATTCAAATCAACTTACTATTGAGGCTAGGATGACAAGCGTGAAATTAATTGTTCCACTTCATGTAAGACCTGCATTCTTCTTTTGAGAGAGTAATTGGTTGCCACATGTAGCATGAGAGCTGGGGGAGTTTTGCCTCCCTGCAATGTTTATGAACTTATTTTTTTTCCCCCACTAGCTATTTTTTTCCCTACTCTTTTAGGTGTCAGCAGTGTTGTTTAGCTGCTGTTCCTGCTGTTGTTTTTTTAGGAGGTCTTGTCCTGTCAGAGAGAATCGTTTTCTTCTAGAAAGGTTGATTGCAGCTGGAGTAAACTTATCTACAAAGTTTCTTCATAAACAGAAGAGGGTATGTTGGCCAACGTGAAAGCAAGAAGACCTCAATGAATGTGAAAAGTAATTAGGTAGGTGGTAATGAGCCCAGTGTTCTTTCATGGTTGCATTAGACCAATTCAAAAAGTGCAATCATCTTGTGAGCATCTTCTGAACTCAGGCCTTTAGGGGCTTCTGAATGGAGAAATAACTCAGGTGAAATGGAGGAAGTTAAGGACAACAGAGGAATTCAAAAAGTGGGGATAGTTCCCCCAAAGTGCTGGTTGTTCAGTCCTCTCAGCAACCTGACCATTGTGTTGGAGAAAGCCAAGAGCCCACTAGAACTTGAAAGGTGGTGTGAAATAGTTTCATTAGAAAGTCAATTTCCCAAGCTCATAGCTGGTGCGGGAAGTTAAAAGGCTGTAGAAACTGAGGGGCACCAAAGTACAGTAAACTTCAACATCTTGAGGGCTTTCTGAAGTCCTGGTTAGATGGATATCTTGCTGGAGGTGAGAAGTTAGTACACTAGTACTTTCAGGCAGGGTAATACTTTTTAACTTAAGAGCTGATTATTGTAGCATTTCCATCTTGGATTCTATGAGAATTGCTTATGAGAAAAGGGATTCTGTATATGATTTATCTTACAGCCAACTAATATTTATCAAACACTTGCTATGTATAAGAACTGTTTAAAACCTGTGGTGACCCAAGTAAATGACATGCTAGACACCTGAATGTTAGCTGACAATAACTATGTACACAGATATGTCAGATACTGTCAGACAGTGTTGATGACAGAGGGGATGAGAGAGAGCAGTAGTCTTGGCTGATATTGGAGAATGAGGGCCAAGAAAGAGTAAGTAAGAAAGGTTTAACGCAAACATAGTTCGTGGACCTGAAGTCACCATTAAACTTAGTTTATTCTTGAGATGTTCAAGTAGCAGAGCTTTCCTTTTACACTTTGGAGAGAGGAGATTTGATGCTATCACCATTCACTATAGGGGAAAGAGCCAACATAAAATACCCAGCTGAGACTATTGGGGATGATTTTAGAGGTAAGTGATTCTATTTCTGCTCAGTCTTGTAAGTGTTTGAAAGTATTGACTGAACACTTTTATAACACCTGAAGGGATCAGAAGTGATTAATAATAAATAATCTACCATTGCAAGACTCAGAGAATTGCAAAGCCCCAGATGATGCAGGTTAGGGAAGAGAACTCCGTGTTATTCAGTTGCATATGATGAGATACAGCATGGAACCACATTAACTCACATCTCTGCTATAGAGGACAGCTGAAGTGTTAGCCCAATCATCATGTTTTCCAAACTCCTGTTTTCTGGGTTTTGGGGGGATTGACCCCTTGATGCTGGGGTCACCTGAGCTCCTGCCACAGTGTGGGAAGGAGATCATGCCTGCCTCACCAAGGTCTCACATCCCCCTAGGCACAAAATTGGCTCCCAATGGGCTCATGACTCAGAATAAGTCAACCAGAGACTTCGCTGGAGTTCTCTCTAGGAGCTAGTGAGAGATGTTCTTCCCATGTGGGTGGTATCATGATATGTACCTCACCGGCTGCTGGACTGGCCTGCTTATCATGGGAAGACAGGCAGGGCTCACAGTTGTGATGGAAAGAGAAACAAACATATTAGGTGTACATTTAGCCCAGAATCGAGAGTTCTTTTATCCTTAGATTTCCTCGCTTAAATAAGTAAACATTTAATAGGAAAAAACCCTCTAAAATAAAATTCTTATGATTTTATTATCATATAATAGTTGTGTAGGGGGATACATTGTGCTATTTACATATGTGTTTAAAATATATCTTAGTTGAATTTACTTCCTCCATCATTCTTCCTCTTCCCCCTCCCTGCTTCTTAGAACACTTTCAACAGGTTTCATCTATTTTCATATATGGTTACAAAATACATCCACCATATTCACCCTTATTCTCCCTTTCTGTGCTCACCCCCCCTTCCACTGATACCCACCTCTGGAAAAGATTTATTTTTTTCTCCTGCCCTTCATTTTTTTTTTGATTAAGTGTATATTGATAGTCCAAGAGGGCTTTGCCATGATACTTCATCTCGTGCTTTAATCAAATTAACCCCCTTCCCTGTTACTCATTCTCTATCACCATGCTCCCCTAGTATTCAACAGCTTCTGTACAGTGCACTATATTCATATCTAAATAAGTTCTTTCAGTATCTTTCATTTTCTAACATTTTATCTCTCTCATCTCCCATAGCCCCCTAGACATACTCACTAATACAATTTTATCTCTCTCTCTCTCTCTCTCTCTCTCTCTCTCTCTATATATATATATATGTAATCTTATATATTTCTATATATACACATTTAACTTGTAGGTCTAGCTTCCACATATGAGAGAAAGCATGTGATCTTGCTAAAAATAAAAATTGAAGTTTGCTTCCACCTAATAAAAGAACAGGGGCGAACTGGGCAGTGGTGGCTCATGCCTGTAATCCTGGCTACTCAGGAACAGGGATTAGGAGGATCACAGTTCAAAGCCAGTCCAGGCAAATAGTTTGCAAGACCCTATCTCAAACCCATCACTAAAAAAGGACTATGGAGAGACTCAAGGTGTAGGCCCTTAGCTCAAACCCCAGTATTGCAAAACAACAACAGCAACAACAACAAAGAAACTTCAGGGGTAAACCTTAATTTCTGTGGTCTGGAGAACCACAGAGAAGTGTGAGGTAGAAAAGAACTCTTCAAGAGACAAGTGCTGACTTGGAGCTCAGCTGCCCATTCTCAGGATTTATGGGACCATCCATGCCACAGGTCTGCAAGCACTTATGGTGACTAGAAGAGTCCCTTTAAGTAACTTTTATGGTGACAGCATTATAAATATATAGCACAAACGTTTCTGTGAAGAAAACTAACAAAATGAAAAGTCCATTTACTTAAAACAGAAGCCTGCTGATACATTTGTGTAGCTGCAAAGTAGAGACTTTGGAGAAGAGGGACAAAATCAGCAGCTCTTGAAGCGAAGCTCTGCATTCTAGCCACTCAGCTTTTGCAATGCTAGGAATTTTCAGTTGTGTTTAGAGACCAGCTGCTCAGCTGAGATTCAGTAATATATGGGCCGAGGAGTCTTGAATAAACATGTTTCCTTCCTTCTCCTCCTTGAGAATCCAGGATCTTTAGTTCTCTAAGTCCTTCTAAGAGCTGAACCCAGAAATGTTCGGTGTTTGCAAATGTAGAGTCAGCTATTTACTTAGCTACTTCGGTTATTTATTATATGAAATAGGATGTGACAAATCTGTCTGCTTTCTAAACAGATACCATATTTATCGTATGATGCAGAAATGTCACTCCTTGCAACCTCTCTTAGTGATCTCTGTTGAGTGCCTCACATCTCTACCTCAGATTCATGGCCCTTAGGATGTGTCTCCTCCTACTTGATGTCTCTTATCTTTTTTCCCAGTGATCAAAAAGGCTCAAACAGGCTGCAGCCACAATGGTCTTCATTTTTCTCCTTTAAACATCCTCTTTCTGCTCAGGCCTTGACTGTCACATTCCCTCTGCTTTCAGTGCTCTTTTCTTGCTTCTTTACATGCTTGGCTCACCAGTCAAGTCTAACTCATGTTTTCTCCTTAGAAGAGCTGCCGCCAACCAGGCAATCTAAATCCTGTGCCCAGTAACTTCATACCATGCAACCCTGCCTCATTTCTCCACAGTGGCTTCACCTGAAATCTGAACCCATTATCTGCTTATTCTCCCTTCCTTCTCTAATGTAAGGAGAGTAAGGCATGATCTGTCTTACTCCCTATTGTATCTTTGGCATCTATGTCCTAGAATATAGTAGATACTCAGTAAGAATTTCTAGTAAGAATAAATGGCTAAGTAACCTACCCATTCTTCTGAGCAGTGACCTCATTCAAGTGAGTTAAACAATTTATCTTAACATCTTTCCTCAGTTTCTCTGTTATAGAGGGGAAGTAGAATGGGATATTCACATTAAAGTGGATTCTCTTTAATTCTTATAAAAACTTTAGTTACCAATAATACTCAAGCCCATTTTCTCTTCATGTTTGGAGGTTGGTGTTGAGTTTCATTTTAGGACATTCATATTTTTCCTGGCACTTGTACCATGGGGATTAACTGAATTTGCAATTGTATATGTATCAATTATCTCCTTCCTCTGCCAGACCTTTGAGCTTGGTTCCAGGACTGCTTTATTCATTGCTGAATGCTCCCAACCTAGTGAGTGCTTTGCTTGTATTGAGTACCCAAGGCTTGAGGGCTAGTTGTGAGGGCTAGGGGAGGGTCTTGGCTAAACTCTGTACTCTGCCTGGTCTAGGTGCAGGTTTTTGCAACTTTATAATGTCTCTGTCTGAATGAATAGGTGCTTTGTCATGGATGGAAGGATGTTACAATTCCATGTTCTTTTTGTGGGAGGTAGGGGAATTGTAAAAAGAGAAGTAAAGGCCTTCTCCCCTTTAGCATAGGGCCTGTGTGTTCATTGATATAGAGGCTTGGAATCTACTCCACGCTACCCTATGTGTATGAAGGGAGAAAGTCAAGGGTATGATCCAACATAAACAAATGTCTTTTGTGGGGTGGCATGCTGGAGGATACTGGAAAGTGGAGGATGCATAGCTCCCCCATGGGAATTGCACAAATCCCCCCATGGTGCTTACTAAGTCAGTTAAGGCAGCCCCCATGACCTTATGGGAGAGGGTTCTATGAAAGCAGTTGGGAATGGGGGTTGGGAGGAAGGGAGTATAGGTTTCGATTTTTTGCCACTGCTCTCTAAGGAATTCTTACATATTTCACTTTCGCGTATTCCCAGAACCTGTGACAGGCTGCATAATTGCTGGGCTGACATAAATCTATAGCAACGATGGGTAGATTTTGCTGACCTGTTTGCTTCGGCTGCAAGACTCAGTGGAGCATGTCTGTGTATCATATCACAGGCTTAGGCTGTGGTGGGACCAGGGAAGGAAAGCTATCATGTCTCCAAGGTCATGGTGTGAAATGGGGAAGTCATGGTGAAAGAAGCACCATTTAAGCAGAGAGTTGCCTAAAATGAGGAAAGTGGGGGAGGTGAAAGCATGTTTCATCTGATGGTAGATCCATGATAGGGATGGCTTATAGCCAAAAACAGGTATTTATTCCTCTGCTTCACATTTATCTAATGTAAATGATTGGATAAAACTTTGACTGATCAGGAATCTTTCCTCATAGTGTGAAAGTTAAATAATTAAATGTATTTAATTATTCCAGTCAACAGGGTTGACTGGAAAATGGAGAGTCCTTATCAAATTGGTTAATGGGTTTTAGATTTTTTTTTCTTAAATCCATCCATTTAGTCCATGTGTATTTGCTGAGTACACACAGTGACTAGCATTCTGATGGTATTGGAACACAGGAGTAGGGAAAAGGCAGGGCATTTTCTTGTCCAGCAGAACATGTGGTCCATCATACAAGTACAGATGCTCCCAGACTTATGATTGGGCCATATCCTGAAAAACACGTTATTGTACATTGACAGTATCGTAAGTTGAAAATTCATTTACTATACCTAACCTCCTGAGCATCCTAGTTTAGCAACACAGCTTGCTGTAGAGAATGTGTTGTTTCCTCACTGATTGTGTTGTTGACTAGGAGCTGCAGATTGCTGTTGCTACCCAGCATTGATAGAGAAAGAATATCATATCACATATGGCTGGCCCAGGAAAAGATCAAACTTCACAACTTGAAGTATGGTTTTAGTTAAATGCAAATTGCTTTTGCACATTGTAAAACAGAACCAATGTAAGCTGAGGGCTGTCTACAATGACAGTCCCCTCCTCCAGCAATGGTATGATGAGTTCCCTCCTAGGTCTGGTAGCAAAGACAATATTCTTTTTGGCTTTTTTATTTTCAGTATACATCTGAAAAGTTTGGTTAAAATTTAAATGATTCAGAAATCTACTTGATTTATAATTAGAACATTACAGATAAAGCCTGAGACTTCTTTGAGTCATACCCCTCAATCCTGGGTCACCAGTCTG